CGTTAAACACGGCTCTATAATTCTCCTGCACATATTTGGCAAATGGTCTCACATAGGGCACAATGGGGGTTCCATCCTTGCGAAACAATGGCAGCAAGACCAGATGCCCTTTGCATCTGGCACAGATGAAGCGTTCAGTGTTCAGCGATCTGGTGTAGCGGCCAATCCTGGGGAGAAAGGAGATACCACAGCACAATAACAAATTAATCACGACCCCTCAACAGCAGCTCCAACTCCTCAGCTTTATGCTCAAAGCAATTTTCTGTGAGTTCTGAGGAGCCCCAGGCAGCAGCAGAGTCAGGCCAGCTCAAATTCAGGAAGATAATGGAGAAAGAGAACGAAGAAATAGTGAGCTTGACTCCTTAAATTGGTCCATAGACTTACTAAAGATCGATTTGGTCCTGCCATAGTTCAAGGCTACAAAGCTAGCTCAAGACTAGCATATAGGCCAGGCGGTGATGGTGCATGCCTTTAATCCCAGCACTCGGGAGGCAGAAGCAGGCGGATCTCTGTGAGTTTGAGACCAGCCTGGTCTACAAGAGCTAGTTCCAGGACAGGCTCCAAAACCACAGAGAAACCCTGTCTCGAAAAACCAAAAAAAAAAAAAAAAGAAAGAAAGGAAGGAAGGAAGGAAGGAAAGAAGGAAGAAAAGAGGGCTGGCTGATGATATGGCTCAGGCAGGGGAGCCATGTAGTGTTTGCCTGGCAGCCATGAGTCCCTTAGCTCAATTCCCAGTACCAGAAAAAGAAAACAAACAGCTATTGGAGGCTGGAATAACAAAAGAATTGGGAAAAATCTGAAAAGGCCTTACCTGTATTTGCACAGCATGCATTCATAATAGATCTTGTAGTGAATTGTGTAGTTATGGCAACGGGTGACCTTGGGCAGTTCTGGGTGTACTGAATTGCATTTTTTAGCATAATATTGCCATGAGATACCATGAGAATCCCGGATGCCATCAAGCAGCCAGGAGGCTGCATGGCATAGTTCATGGATCAAGGTGTCCCGGATTTGATCTTGAGAGAGAAATGAAAAGAAACTGTCAGCACTAAAATGAATTTTCTTCTGATCTACTATCCCATAAGCCCTTGACTTTCACCCCTACCAAACACAAGGCTGTCTCACAGAAGCACAGTCGGCTGCAATTGTTGCCTTCCCAGGATCCGGAGAGTCAAATTTCTACCCACATACAAGCTAGTTTTGGTTTTGACTGCTTCTTAAGTGGTCAGGTCTTTGGGGAGCAGCTCCAGCATGTTCATCCTTTTGTGGGACATTGCTCGAAATGTACCTGGACGAGGCTTGCTTTCTTCACGCTTGGGACAAAGGTGGGCTCAGGAGGTATGTATGGCCATGAGATTTGGTGAGCAGAAGTTTGGGGTAAGAGAGAGATCTGAGCTGGGTTCTATTATGAAAAAATTAATTACATTTATTTATTGTGTGTGTGTGTGTGTGCATGCACATACATGCACATGCATGTGGAGACCAGAGGATAACTTGTGGAAGTCAGCTCTTCCCTTTGACTATGTAAGTCCTGGAGAAGAAACTCAGATCAGCAGGCTGGATGGCCCTGAGCCTTCTCACCCCCCTCCCCACACCCGTGAGCTAGACTCTTAACAACTGACTAAATTTAGAATTAGAAAGGCTATTTAAGTCCATACATGACCTTTAACCCTAGCACTTGAGAGGATGAAACAGGTGGATGACCCTGGGTTAGAGATCAGTTAGCATTATATGACAAGATCCTATCTCAAAACAACTTTGCTTTGTTTAAGTATTTTTTCTTACTGATTTTTTTTGTTTCTTTGTTTTGATTTTAGTTTTTTGTTTTCTTGTTTTTTTTTTTGAGAGAGAGAGAGAGAACACAGGCAAACATACATAAAGGTAGGTGGGAAGAGTTGGGGGAGGGGAAAGAACATGATCAAAATACATTGTATAAAAAATATTTTTTAATTAAAAACAAAAAACCGGCAGCCCACTTCTGTAATCCCAGCACTGAAAGGCTGAGGCAAGAGAACTATACAAGTTCAGGGTCATAGTATGAGGCCAGCCAAGGCTACACTAACCTGTACCCTCACCCTCCCTACCAAAAGGCGGCCATTCAAAGCTGAGTTGGGGGGCAGACACCTGTATGTAGTTCCAGTTACTCAAAAAGCTGAGACAAGAGGTCTGCTTGAGTCCAGGGGTTCAAGACTAGCCTGGACAACATAGCAAGACACCATATCAGAAACAAGACAAAACACTTGATTCTAAAAATCTGTTGTCGCTGCTATTTGATGGCATACTACTTACACGGCATGTGTGAGGCTATAGTCTCCAATATGGTGGGAGCATTCGGGAGAAGTCAAACAAAATGTAAGTAATGATTGGATCTACAAAACCACGAGCTGCATTTTGAGAGCCAATGGGCAAAGAATGGATAAACCATGGGCTAGCAGCGAGCAGTGAGAAGCCAGATAAAACCCGTGAAGCAGGAGAAGACTACCATGGCCTTGAAAACCAGGCTCTGAGCAGGAAAGCAACATAGTAGCACACACACACAAACTGAGGGAACAGAAGGAGGGGATAAGTCACCAGACTTTGACAAATGAAAAACTGTCTGGCTAGAGCGGGCATCTTGACCCTTGGCAATTGAGAGAATGGAGACCTGGCTTTGGCAAAGGAAATGTGCAGATGGGCCTGGAAACTACACTGAATTCCTAGGAAAGGTGAGACATCTAATAATGATGTCCTCTCAGCAACATACAGAAGGCCTACCCACATGGAAATGACAGTTCAAAGCTGTGACACAGGTTGCCGGGGATGAGTAATTTAACAGATCAGAAGGACAGGGTGCTAGGGTAAATCCACCATAGTCCTGGAATCACCTGCAGAGTCGCAGACTTTTGGAGAAATTGAAATCTTAGCATAGCGCTGCCTCTTGGGTTGTTGTATCTCATGGGTAGTGCATAAACCAGCAGTCCGTAGCATCTTTTTATTCCAAATGATTTCTATTTTCTCTGGCAACTGAAAATGAAAAGCAAACAAAAGTATCAGAAAGCAGTTCTAAAGGTTTACTTTTTTTAAAAAATGTATGTGTATGTGTATAAGCCTGAGTTTATATGTACCACATGTGTACCAGAAGAGAGTGTCAGGTCCCCTGGATCTGGAGTTATAGAGCAGTTGCGAGCTTCCAAGTGCATGCTGGGAACCAAACCTGGGTCTGTTGCCAGAGCATTAAGTGCTCTTAACTGCTAAGCTATCTCCCTAGAAACAACTCATATCAGAAAATAAGAACAAGAGTTTTTCTCCCTCTGAGAAAAAGTAAGAGGACATGCCAATGTGGACGAGGGAAATTTCACAAGGCACCACCCCTAGATGAAACGCCACAGGTAATAACTGCCCTGCAGAAATAATCAGTTTTCCAGTGATGAACTCTTATCGGCTATACAATCCCAAGAGCTCTGCTCTAAACACATAGGAGCAACACTAAATGGACTCAGTAGGTTTTACACATAGCCGGGCAGTGGTGGCGCACGCCTTTAATCCCAGCACTCGGGAGGCAGAGGCAGGCGGATCTCTGTGAGTTCGAGACCAGCCTGGTCTACAAGAGCTAGTTCCAGGACAGGCTCCAAAACCACAGAGAAACCCTGTCTCGAAAAACCAAAAAGAAAAAAAAAAGTTAAGCATGGTGGTGTGCACTTATCACCCCAGTCCTGGGTGGGTGGTGACAGGAAGAACACAGTAGCTTGCTGGTCAGCCAGCCTAGCCGAATTGGAAAGCACTACAACCACATGAGACACTGTCTCAAAAAACAAGGTGGACAGCTCTTGGAAATGAAACCAAAGGTTTGTCACTGGCTTCCACATGCATATACACATGTACATATGTGTTCCAAGACAAGCGCGCGCGCACACACACACACACACACACACACACACACACAGACAAGAATTCTCTAAGTGGACCCCAAGTCTCTAGAAGTGAACAGAAAGTAAAAAAGATGTTTTGTCTCAAAGAAACTGTAAGTCCCAAGTCCCGGTCTCTGGCCTCCATCTTTGGAGGCCCTGTCCTTGTGCCTGCCAAGCCTTGACCCCTCCCTGGAGGAGTGTCAAGACAGCCTGCCAAAATCTTGACCACTCTTCCAGGCTACTTAAACTGCTTCCCCAGAAGGTCCCCTGGTGGTCTCTCCCCCCCACACCGTGGTCATGTTCACGGTCTCCCGGTCGACCCCCCCCCCCCCGTGGCCACCTGCGAGTGCAGGAATCCCATTAAACCTGGATATTTTTAATTTGGCTTGTTGTGATTTGGCTTGATTGGGATTTTTGCATTGGCAGAGAGCTCGCACTAGGAAAAATTCCTAACAGAAACCAAGAAACGGGCTGTGGAAGGCCTCTAGGTACTGGAAAAGAAATGGATTTCCAGAAGTTCCCGTCAACACTTTAATCATAATCTAGGTGACTCATCCTAGACTCTTGACCTTCCAAACTCTAAAATATTATAATATAATAGAATATCCGTGCTGCTCTAAGCCACAAGTTGGTGGGCATTTTCTGTGGCATTCACAGGAGTACATACACTAAAACAATGTTGGGTCCTATCCACACCCTCAATAGCTCCCAGAGATAGGCAGTCTGCTCGAGCACTTGAATAGGAGAGCTGGAATGTGAGATGGAAACATTTATTTTCTGAATGATTGCATGCTTCACTCAAATCCATGAGCAGCTGGAATTCATGAAGCAGGCTGGCTCCTCACACCCGAGGAGGCATAACAAGCTGGCAGAGTACTCACTACGAGCCACTTACTCTGTTGTGACAATATTCTCCTGTTCTCACTGCTCTCCCTCCCAAGAAACATCCTTTTCTTCTGACTCATTCCAAGTTAAAACCCAATGTGGATCCAAAGGGCTTCAAGTATTGTCAAGAGCTGTATGGTTAGCAAAAGAACTCTTTATTAAGAAAAATCATCAATAATAACAAATCAGAAAACACATTTAAATCCCAATACTTAAAACCTTACAGAAATAGTTTTCTAGAACTTCTTGCCAGTAAAGGATTTGGCTCACATAACTATATTCCAGGCAAACCTTAAGGATTTGCCTTTTGTTTACTGGCAAAATAATCCTTGCTGAGTCTTTTCATCACATTCCCATGGCTGATTCCTGCCGTGCCGTTAAACACGGCTCTATAATTCTCCTGCACATATTTGGCAAATGGTCTCACATAGGGCACAATGGGGGTTCCATCCTTGCGAAACAATGGCAGCAAGACCAGATGCCCTTTGCATCTGGCACAGATGAAGCGTTCAGTGTTCAGCGATCTGGTGTAGCGGCCAATCCTGGGGAGAAAGGAGATACCACAGCACAATAACAAATTAATCACGACCCCTCAACAGCAGCTCCAACTCCTCAGCTTTATGCTCAAAGCAATTTTCTGTGAGTTCTGAGGAGCCCCAGGCAGCAGCAGAGTCAGGCCAGCTCAAATTCAGGAAGATAATGGAGAAAGAGAACGAAGAAATAGTGAGCTTGACTCCTTAAATTGGTCCATAGACTTACTAAAGATCGATTTGGTCCTGCCATAGTTCAAGGCTACAAAGCTAGCTCAAGACTAGCATATAGGCCAGGCGGTGATGGTGCATGCCTTTAATCCCAGCACTCGGGAGGCAGAAGCAGGCGGATCTCTGTGAGTTTGAGACCAGCCTGGTCTACAAGAGCTAGTTCCAGGACAGGCTCCAAAACCACAGAGAAACCCTGTCTCGAAAAACCAAAAAAAAAAAAAAAAAGAAAGAAAGGAAGGAAGGAAGGAAGGAAAGAAGGAAGAAAAGAGGGCTGGCTGATGATATGGCTCAGGCAGGGGAGCCATGTAGTGTTTGCCTGGCAGCCATGAGTCCCTTAGCTCAATTCCCAGTACCAGAAAAAGAAAACAAACAGCTATTGGAGGCTGGAATAACAAAAGAATTGGGAAAAATCTGAAAAGGCCTTACCTGTATTTGCACAGCATGCATTCATAATAGATCTTGTAGTGAATTGTGTAGTTATGGCAACGGGTGACCTTGGGCAGTTCTGGGTGTACTGAATTGCATTTTTTAGCATAATATTGCCATGAGATACCATGAGAATCCCGGATGCCATCAAGCAGCCAGGAGGCTGCATGGCATAGTTCATGGATCAAGGTGTCCCGGATTTGATCTTGAGAGAGAAATGAAAAGAAACTGTCAGCACTAAAATGAATTTTCTTCTGATCTACTATCCCATAAGCCCTTGACTTTCACCCCTACCAAACACAAGGCTGTCTCACAGAAGCACAGTCGGCTGCAATTGTTGCCTTCCCAGGATCCGGAGAGTCAAATTTCTACCCACATACAAGCTAGTTTTGGTTTTGACTGCTTCTTAAGTGGTCAGGTCTTTGGGGAGCAGCTCCAGCATGTTCATCCTTTTGTGGGACATTGCTCGAAATGTACCTGGACGAGGCTTGCTTTCTTCACGCTTGGGACAAAGGTGGGCTCAGGAGGTATGTATGGCCATGAGATTTGGTGAGCAGAAGTTTGGGGTAAGAGAGAGATCTGAGCTGGGTTCTATTATGAAAAAATTAATTACATTTATTTATTGTGTGTGTGTGTGTGTGCATGCACATACATGCACATGCATGTGGAGACCAGAGGATAACTTGTGGAAGTCAGCTCTTCCCTTTGACTATGTAAGTCCTGGAGAAGAAACTCAGATCAGCAGGCTGGATGGCCCTGAGCCTTCTCACCCCCCTCCCCACACCCGTGAGCTAGACTCTTAACAACTGACTAAATTTAGAATTAGAAAGGCTATTTAAGTCCATACATGACCTTTAACCCTAGCACTTGAGAGGATGAAACAGGTGGATGACCCTGGGTTAGAGATCAGTTAGCATTATATGACAAGATCCTATCTCAAAACAACTTTGCTTTGTTTAAGTATTTTTTCTTACTGATTTTTTTTGTTTCTTTGTTTTGATTTTAGTTTTTTGTTTTCTTGTTTTTTTTTTTTTGAGAGAGAGAGAGAACACAGGCAAACATACATAAAGGTAGGTGGGAAGAGTTGGGGGAGGGGAAAGAACATGATCAAAATACATTGTATAAAAAATATTTTTTAATTAAAAACAAAAAACCGGCAGCCCACTTCTGTAATCCCAGCACTGAAAGGCTGAGGCAAGAGAACTATACAAGTTCAGGGTCATAGTATGAGGCCAGCCAAGGCTACACTAACCTGTACCCTCACCCTCCCTACCAAAAGGCGGCCATTCAAAGCTGAGTTGGGGGGCAGACACCTGTATGTAGTTCCAGTTACTCAAAAAGCTGAGACAAGAGGTCTGCTTGAGTCCAGGGGTTCAAGACTAGCCTGGACAACATAGCAAGACACCATATCAGAAACAAGACAAAACACTTGATTCTAAAAATCTGTTGTCGCTGCTATTTGATGGCATACTACTTACACGGCATGTGTGAGGCTATAGTCTCCAATATGGTGGGAGCATTCGGGAGAAGTCAAACAAAATGTAAGTAATGATTGGATCTACAAAACCACGAGCTGCATTTTGAGAGCCAATGGGCAAAGAATGGATAAACCATGGGCTAGCAGCGAGCAGTGAGAAGCCAGATAAAACCCGTGAAGCAGGAGAAGACTACCATGGCCTTGAAAACCAGGCTCTGAGCAGGAAAGCAACATAGTAGCACACACACACAAACTGAGGGAACAGAAGGAGGGGATAAGTCACCAGACTTTGACAAATGAAAAACTGTCTGGCTAGAGCGGGCATCTTGACCCTTGGCAATTGAGAGAATGGAGACCTGGCTTTGGCAAAGGAAATGTGCAGATGGGCCTGGAAACTACACTGAATTCCTAGGAAAGGTGAGACATCTAATAATGATGTCCTCTCAGCAACATACAGAAGGCCTACCCACATGGAAATGACAGTTCAAAGCTGTGACACAGGTTGCCGGGGATGAGTAATTTAACAGATCAGAAGGACAGGGTGCTAGGGTAAATCCACCATAGTCCTGGAATCACCTGCAGAGTCGCAGACTTTTGGAGAAATTGAAATCTTAGCATAGCGCTGCCTCTTGGGTTGTTGTATCTCATGGGTAGTGCATAAACCAGCAGTCCGTAGCATCTTTTTATTCCAAATGATTTCTATTTTCTCTGGCAACTGAAAATGAAAAGCAAACAAAAGTATCAGAAAGCAGTTCTAAAGGTTTACTTTTTTTTAAAAATGTATGTGTATGTGTATAAGCCTGAGTTTATATGTACCACATGTGTACCAGAAGAGAGTGTCAGGTCCCCTGGATCTGGAGTTATAGAGCAGTTGCGAGCTTCCAAGTGCATGCTGGGAACCAAACCTGGGTCTGTTGCCAGAGCATTAAGTGCTCTTAACTGCTAAGCTATCTCCCTAGAAACAACTCATATCAGAAAATAAGAACAAGAGTTTTTCTCCCTCTGAGAAAAAGTAAGAGGACATGCCAATGTGGACGAGGGAAATTTCACAAGGCACCACCCCTAGATGAAACGCCACAGGTAATAACTGCCCTGCAGAAATAATCAGTTTTCCAGTGATGAACTCTTATCGGCTATACAATCCCAAGAGCTCTGCTCTAAACACATAGGAGCAACACTAAATGGACTCAGTAGGTTTTACACATAGCCGGGCAGTGGTGGCGCACGCCTTTAATCCCAGCACTTGGGAGGCAGAGGCAGGCGGATCTCTGTGAGTTCGAGACCAGCCTGGTCTACAAGAGCTAGTTCCAGGACAGGCTCCAAAACCACAGAGAAACCCTGTCTCGAAAAACCAAAAAGAAAAAGAAAAAAAAAGGTTTTACACATACTACACACACACAAAGAGGTCATTAATTTGAGAGGTGGAGATATAGGAAGAACAGGGGTGGTAGAAATGACACAAAGATAGTAGTCACATATGAAATTCTCAAAAAATAAAAACAAAGTAAGAGGAACTGTCTCCTACATTCTTGAGTTGCTGAAGAGAAATTTATGCAAATAAAAAACAAATCTAAACATTGAAGTCCTGGGAATGACAATTAATAGGTTAATCAGGACACAAGGAAGGAGATTTTTAAGGCTACAGGACCTTCAGGATATAAGAATTCCCTCCACAAAGCCTCTTCAGCAGAAGACTGTAACACTGGATTAAACAACAACAAACGATCTACCGGTGATGGTACAGCTCAGGGGTAGGGTGCTTTCCTCACATGCAGGAAGCATGGTAAGAAATAAAAGAGCCCAAAACAAACAAGCAAAACAAGTGGCCAGAAGGTCCCTACCTCTGCATTTTCTAATCCAGTCCATACCACCAAGCTATTGGCAGATGGATTCAGCAGTAGCTTCCCGTCACACATTCCTGTGCACTGGTTCCTACCAATTTAAATTTAACTTTTCCTAACCTACTTGCCAAGGCCATCGAAGACAAGACAACAAGAGCTTGCTGTACCTAGGCCCTGTTCTAAGCACTTTATGATTATGGAAATATTGCAGTCTAATAGTAACTCTGAGGTAGTAAGTAGAATGGGCCTGAGTTCTGTACCATGGATTCAACAAACTGCAGATCAAAAATGACTACAATTTATTACATAAATGTACAAAACTGTCAGATAATAAAAAATGACAAAAACATGCATCTGCTAGAAATATACACAGAGGATGAGCAGAGGACATTTTATATAAGAGATTTGAGCACCTGTAGATTTTGCCATTTGTTGAGGGGTACCAGAACCCGTTCCCTGCAGGCACAGAAAGATGACTGCACTATTATTGGCCTCATTTTACAAGAGACATGGGTAAAAGGAGGCTAAGCAACTCATCCAGCTCCTTCTCATCATCTTCTTTACCTTATCACATGTCCTTTCCCTGCTGCCGTTCTCAGTACAAACCATTTTTTAAGGAGCAGGAGCCTCATGTCTTTCAGGAAATCCTATTTTCTGACTTCTCAGACTTTTCAGTCATTCTCCCTGTGCTAATCTCCTACTGTAATAGCCATCTGCTCATATATACAACCAAAACAAGTTCTCTTTCACACAAGCATTCTCTCTCATGTTTGCTAAGTCCAAAGTGCCCCCCCCAAATACAGCTGCGCTGGTGACCATGTCCTAAACAGAAGGACTAACTGGGTAAACAGACGATTATTGGGTAAGGGCATCTAGTTCCTGATTAATCTGAACAGCCTATATCAGCACAAAGACCCCTACCTGCTGACTATCATAAAATCTGCTTGCTTTCCCACTGTTTTGCTTCTCTCTGCCCCTCTGAGAGAGAGCCTTGGCAGTTTGGACCCCAATAAGTCTTTCTTTTCTACCCATGGAGTGGTCCAGGTCTACTCAAACTAGCACAGCTCCAAGACATGAAGCAGACATGGTTAGTACAGCAGCCAAGCATGCTGGTGTACAAGAGGTATTCAATAGAAACTTATTCGTTGTTTCTACCTTTCCATCAAAGACAGTGTGGTTAAGTAGTGCGTAGATTTTCTGAGCCAGTTCTTCCTTATTGTGCTTGAAATTCCTTCCAGAATACTCTTTTAACTTCTCAATGTTATTCAAGAAACATCCAGGAATTTTGCACATACGTTTCCTACAAAGGTAAATTCAAGTGAATTTTTCATGGCTAAAGAAATAGGAGAAGACATGCATAAAGGTCTAAAAACTTGCTGTTCTTTCCTTCCGGCTCATCATATATTAACATTTATTTCCCAGGCTCCATTCAGTGTTTCTCTTTACTCTTGGCACACATTCTCAAACGTTATGAGGCCAGGTTTCAACCTCAAAACTGATAACTACACCTACAGCTTCAGTCTCTGATGTTTCTGATTTTTCATTTATTCAATGTAAATTCCCAACACATTTATGAGTCTATCTTTAGCCTAAGAGGCTCCATAATGAAAATTCTGTCACAACTGACAGAAAACCTTGGAGGCATTTTGAATGCATTTTCCCTTACCCTGTGTTCAACTGGGATGTGAACTGCTATCTTCTGACTGTGGGCTCTCCCGGACAGCATCTGCTTTGCAACTCAGGTTCACCTCTCTCATCAAGACCTGCCTTCCCCTTCATAGAACAGCACTCTCTAACTACCAGGCTCTTTTCATTCTAACCCAGTACCCACTCACCTCCAGATTCATTTTGTTTCCTTCTGGCTTTTCCTTGACCAGCTGGCCTGGTATTCAAGGCCTGAGTCAATGTGATTCTAGCCACTGTTTCCAGCTACCACTTCTACTCTGCTCAAAGTGGGCAGCTCAAACATTCCCTGGAGTGAATGGTGATTTCCCATTGTGCTGCGGCATCAACTCTTTCCCGTGATACAGAGTGACCCATCTCTGCCTTTCCTGAGAACCACCAGTGGCATTTTAGTATTTGCAAAGAACCTCTCTTTGCATCATATCATTGTTTGTTCCCATCTCTATCTTGCAAATGAGGATACTAAAGCTCAGGTGTCTGACCCAAAAGTCAGAGACAATGGATCTTCTGACCCAAATCCTCAATCTTTCCATTAAACCATGATTGGGCCAATGCTCAGTTGCTACTGATGTAAATAGAAGTGGGTTTTTTTAAATTTGCTTTTTAGTGTTTGGTTTGTTTGGGTTTTTTTCTTTCTTTCTTTTTTTCTTTGGTTTTTCGAGCCTGTCCTGGAACTAGCTCTTGTAGACCAGGCTGATCTCAAACTCACAGAGATCCGCCTGCTTCTGCCTCCCAAGTGCTGGGTGCTGGGATTAAAGGCGTGCACCACCACCGCCCAGCTTTTTTTTTTTTTTGGTTTTTTGAGACAGGGTTTCTCTGTAGTTTTGGAGCCTGTCCTGGAACTAGCTCTTGTAGACCAGGCTGGTCTCGAACTCAGAGATCCACCTGCCTCTGCATGTGCCACCACCGCCTGGCTTTTTAAAAATTTATTTTACATCGCGACTGAAGTTTCCCCTCCCTCTTCTCCTCTGCCCCAATCCACTTCTCCTCTATTTATGTTCAGAAAGGGGCAGGACTCCCATGGGTATCAACAAATCATGGCATATCAAGGTAAGGTAAGACTAAGCACCTTCCCTTGTATGAAGTATGAAGAACAGGTTCCCAAGAGCTGGCCAAAGTGTTAGGGACAGGTCCTGCTCCCATTGTTAGGAGTCCCAGAAGTAGAGCAAGCTACACTGCTGTGGAATATGCCTTTACACTGTGTGAATATATGTCACTGTGATTGATTTAATAAGGAAGCTGACTGGCCAATAGCTGGGCAGAAAGAGATTGGGCTAGAGAGCCAGACTAGGAGACTGCTGGGAGGAAGAAGGGGAGAGCCTGGAGTCTTCAGCAGAGAAAAAGAGAAACAACATGAGCATGCCATACTGAGAAAAGGTACCAAGCCATGTGGCAGAGCGGAGATGAGAAATACAGGTTAATTTAAATGTTAAGAGTTAGCTGGTAACAACTCTGAGCTATTGGCCAAGTGTTTCCAACTAATATTGAGTCTCTGCATTTGGGAAACAGCTATGAGACAGGAAACTCCATCTATACTACACAACTGTAACATATATGTAGAGTACTTAGGTCAGTCCCATACAGGCTTCCTGGTTGTCAGTTCAGATTCTGTGAGTCCCTATGAGCCCAGGTAAGTTGTTTTTGTGAGTTTTCTTGTGATGTCCTTGACCCCTCTGGTGTCTACAACCCTTCCTCCCTCTGGAAGTGTTTTTTTTTGTTTTGTTTTGTTTTGGTTTGGTTTGGTTTGGTTTTTGTTTTTTTTTTTCTTTTTTTTAGGAGATAGGCTCTTGTCACATAGGCAAGGCTGGTCCCAAACTCGTGGGAATCATTCTGCCTTTTCCTTCCAATTGCTAGTATTTACCATATGTGCCATTATACCTGGAGGAGGCTTTTAAAAAATTATGGCTAGAACAAACCACAACCAGATAGAGAAGCCCACAGAGCTAGAAAAATGAACTGCCAACACAGTGAGTTTGGCTTCACAAGCTCACATTTTTGCTTTAACACTAGATATGTATCAGCAAAGGCAGATGACAACCACTACCATCTGTCAGATGCAGCAGAGAATGGGACCTCCGTGTCTACGCAGAGAAAGCTAGCCTTTAGACTTATTAGCAAACTTTTCCTCAAAGTTTGTGCACCCCACATCCAAACTAACAACAAGCAGCCTAGACAAGAGCTATGGGCAGCAGTGCAGGAGGCTCTCAGAGAGATGGAGTACAGTAAGATAGTGGTAAAAATTCAAACAGGCTAATCACCTTCAGATAGGGTAGTGACAGGACACCAAGAGGCAGCTTCTCCTTTCTTCTGTCATTCTCTAGCAAAGCAACCTGGCTATTATCAAAACAAGCATCCCTACAGACAAAGCAGCTTAAACGCATACATAGAAACTGAGTGTGGTGATGCATGCATGCCTTTAATCCCAGCACTTGGGAAGCAGAGGCAGGCAGACTTCTGTGAGTTCCGGATCAGCCTGGTCTACAGTTACAGGACAAGTTCCAAAACTACAGAGAAACCCTGTCTCAAATGCTCCCCCCTCCCCCGCAAAAGAAAAGCATATAGAATCCAGAGATGAAGCCTTGTTGATAGGGGATCCAAGAGCACACGGTAAACTGTCTCAATCATCTCAGCCACCCAAAAGCACAGGGACACAGTCTTTTTTCTCAGATCTAAACTGACCTCCCCTACCCAATGCCTGGCATACCTTTTCCCCTTCCCCTCCCTGAAGACAATTTTTCTCCCAAAATATAAGCTTAAGAGTATCACCAAGCTGAAGTAGCCAGTTCATCCCCAAGCACCACAAAACAAAAAACCCACAAAAAATCAAAATGCTTACACACACACACACACACACACACACACACACACACACACAGATGCTTCTTCAGATATACTTTCTCTCTTTTTTCTTTTTTCTTTTCCACCAAGACAGGGTTTCTGTGTGTGGCTCTGGCTGACCTGGAACTCTCTATAGACCAGGCTGGCCTTGAACTCAGAGATCTGCGTTCCTTCTCTTAAAAATAATTCAGCTGTAGCCAGGCAGTGGTGGTGCACACCTTTAATCCCAGCACTCAGGAGGCTGAGACAGGCAGACCTATGAGTTTGAGGCCAGCCTGGCCCACAGAGTGAGTTCCAGGACAGCCAGAGCTACACAAAGAAACCCTGTCTTGAAAAACAAAAACAAAAGATAATTTAGATATAAGTGTGCATTACCCCTGAATGGAAGTAAAGCAGGAGATAAAAATTGAAATCATATTTTGAGGGGGAAAGTGAGATTTTAAGAATCGAAATGAGAAAATGTAACAACTTCTAGCTTAAGTATTAACATGTCTTTGACTCATACAATCACTTGTTTTTAAGGGCTTCCTGTGACTCTTAAAGAACTCCAAATAAGCTGGGCAGTGGTGGCGCACGCCTTTAATCCCAGCACTCAGGAGGCAGAGGCATCTCTGAGTTGAGGCCAGCCTGGTCTACAAGAGCTAGTTTCAGGACAGGCTCCAAAGCTACAGAAAAAACCCTGTCTCGAAGAAAAACAACAACAACAAAAAAAAAACTCTAAATAATCTACTTCACCCTAACCTTTTTTTCTGAGTCAAGGACGCTTTGAAAATTCACAGGATAGCATTGATGCAGCTCAGTGACACAGTGCTTCACAGCATGTTCAAATCTAAGGACTCTAACCCCAATCCTGTCTAACAAAACAAAACCGAAGAATACACACAAAAGGGGAAATGTGTTCATGGAGAAACCTGTAAGTCATTTTTAACTACCTTCTCTTTGAACTCAAATCAAAAAGTAGGCTCTTTCTCCACTGTAATTACTTTCTTCGTAGCTTTTTGAGATAAGAATATCAGGTAGCTTCAGTCTGGCCTTGAACTCGATTTGTAGAGGGTGGCCTGGAACTCCTAATTGTCCTGCCTCTGCCTGCCAAGTGCTGGTATTAATGTGCCATCACATCAACTGTATTGGCTTATTAAGTACAAACTGATGACCATCAGGCTGTGTCCAGCCTAATACATATTTTGGCTACATATCCATCTTTGTCCTGATTTTAAGGACAAATGAAACTTTAGAGGCCAGAGCTGCTGTGAGGATGAAGGAAGCACACTCTGCCAGGTAACTACTAGAATTTAAGTAGAGCACACAGGCCTGGTCCTTTGGCTGGATGGCTGGGGGTAGAGGGGTATACCATGACAACACACAGGACCAGAAGATGACCTCATCACTCTGTATGTACATGCCCACTTAGGGTCAGAAACTTTCATCTAATCAGACTCCTGTTCATTCCCTTGGAGTCTCTAGTATCTCCTGGATACTGGAATCAAATCCCATGCAAGTGAGTACTTTAGCAGTGCACATATCCAGTCTTTGCAACTTTCAACTTTTGCTGCAATGGGTTTCTTCTGTAAGGCCCCAATTTTTTGGTCCACTATCAGTTAAAAAAATAAATAGTTGATTGTACCCTGAACATCAGTACCATCAAGCAGAAAGGGAAGCTCAAAAAGAGCTCTTCTAAACTGGGCGGTGGTGGTGCACGCCTTTAATCCCAGCACTCGGGAGGCAGAAGCAGGCGGATCTCTGAGTTCGGATCTCTGAGTTCGAGGCCAGCCTGGTCTACAAGAGCTAGTTCACAGAGGCTAGGTTGCATAAGCAACTATGATGCCTGTATGGTGTACCCCATATATATCCCCAGCAGCACCTTCACCTAATTTGCATGTCTAACCTTGCCTTTTGCCTTCTTCCAGAACCCACGCACGGCACCAGTAACTCCAGCCAGAGACTTCACTCATTTTATTTAACAAATTTATTAAACATCTGTTACATGCCACTCACAAGGCTCTAGAGAATAAATCATTAAGAGTCCTCTTATAAACAAACTACCAAGAGGACAAATTTGGCAACATGTTACGAGAAAAACTCCAAAACTGGGAACGCTGCATAGAGGACTTGACAATTCGAGTAGTGGGGGCATGTCAAAGATGATGACCCAAGATATCATAGGGACAGGAATTCAGGGGAAAAGCACTCCATGGGGACTGAACTGTAAATGCTAACATATTGGAGCATAAGATGGACATGGGAGCCCCCACCCCCATTTGCAGAAAGATCCTTTTTACTCATGTGTACGTGCCCTTTTGCCTCTACGTTTCTTTAATGGCATGCATTTGGCAGGCTGGTCTGATGATGTGGGCTCATCAGGGGGACTAGACTCTGCAGAGGCACTTGGCAGGCTGGGCACATCCTGTGAGACTACCCGACGCCGTTTCCTACGTGATTTAGGTGGAGCCATGCATATAAATCTATTCTTTCTTTTCTTTCTCCTTTGTTGCGCCAGCAGAGCGGCAGCCTTTCTCTCCTTGGATTCTTGGGCTGTAACACTTTGCTGGAGCTCTGGCTCCAGCTCGGGCTCAGGCTCCAGCTCGAGCTCCGGCTCAGGCCCAGGTTCGGGCTCCGGCTCGGGCTCTGGCTCGGGCTCCGGCTCAGGCCCAGGTTCGGGCTCCGGCTCGGGCCCAGGTTCGGGCTCCGGCTCGGGCCCAGGTTCGGGCTCCGGCTCGGGCCCAGGTTCGGGCTCCGGCTCGGGATCTCCCTCTGGCTCTGGCTCGAGATCTCCCTCTGGCTCTGGCTCGATATCCCCCTCTGGCTCGATATCCCCCTCTGGCTCTGGCTTGAGATCTCCCTCTGGCTCGAGATCCCCCTCTGGCTCGAGATCCCCCTCTGGCTCGAGAGCCCCCTCTGGCTCGAGATCCCCCTCTGGCTCGATATCCCCCTCTGGCTCGATATCCCCCTCTGGCTCTGGCTCCCGCTCAGGCTCGGGCTCGGGTTCAGGCTCAGGCTCAGGCTCAGGATCCCGCTCTGGCTCGGGCTCAGGCTCAGGCTCAGGCTCAGGATCCTGCTCTGGCTCAGGCTCAGGCTCAGGCTCCCGCTCGGGATCCCGCTCTAGCTCAGGCTCAAGCTCAGGCTCCCGCTCGGGTTCGGGCTCAGGCTCCAGTGGTGGTTGTTTGGAACTTTTTCCAGGGGCCCCTATTTCACAAACATCAGCAGATGAAGTAGCCCCAAGAACAACACAATCAATTTCTTTTTCGAGAACAGGCATTTGGCACTCATCACTAGAAACATCTTTTTTCTGCTCAGAACCCTTTAAATTGGGACTGTCATCTTCATCATCGATAACAATTACTTGAGACTTCTGATCGCTGGAGCCCTTAACGTTAGAAGACTCATCAGAAGAAGACTCGTCAGAAGACTCATCTGAAATTCAAGAGACATCTATAAATATACTCCTTCTATCCAACCCACTCTGTATATACAGACATCAGCAGGTTATTGAGCACAAATTAAAAAAACTGAGTGTTTGGACATTCTGAATCACAGTTAAAAATTATACTTATAGATTGTTTTCCCTGTATTTTGTGTTTTACTAAGAGTAATGACAGATAAATTAGCAATGAAAGTATTATGTATGCTATGCCCACTTTAAAATCACATTGTCTAAACAACATGAAGTATTTGCTCAGTTGTTCCTAAACACAAACCTGCTGCCTTGTGGTTCACAGCAAAATGTGGGCAATTACATCAATAAAGTGGTATCTCATTTATATCAAGTTAAAGTTCTCTAGCTTAAAAAAACTTCTTTATTTAGTCCTATGACGTAGCTGGACTTTTGGTGATTTCTACCTTATACAAATAGTGTATAGAGTAGATAGTAGTTGGTACCTCCCCCAGCTCCAGTCTCCACCAAGCTGGAAAGAGGACTGAGCCATGCCTCTCACCCTCTCCTCTTCCTTGTCATACCCACCTATAAAGGATGGAAGGAGAGGAAGATGGAGGAGTGGAGTCTAGGCAAATAGAACCCTAAGGCAGCAGAAGAGTTGCAACTGTGTTAGGAAACAGATCAAGGTGAGGAACCCAGCCATAGTTGGGCAGTGGTGGCTTAGGCCTTTAATCTCAGCACTTGAGAGACAGAGGCAGGTGGATCTCTGTGAGTTTGAAGCCAGCCAGGACTGTTATACAGAGAAACCCTGTCTCAAAAAAAAAAAGAAAAAAGAAAAGAAAGAAGAAGGAAGCCAGCCATACTGACATCCAGCACATAATGAAAAAAGGGCGGCACTGGCCTCAAGGTCATTATAAACTTAAAAATGTGCAGAGTCAGACCCTAAAACTGCCACATGTGACAAGGCTTCAGAGCAGCTATTTCTCTAAGCAAAGATGATACTTGCCTTCACTGCTTATTTCACAGATCTTAGATCTCTTTTCCTCATAGAGAGAGTCAGAGTCTGAGTCAATCACCACACAGCTAAGTAATAAGGTGGAAAAAAACAAAAGAAAAATATGAGCATAAATATTCTTTCCTTCTGGGCAGTTTCCATATTTTCTACAATAAGCAGGATTACTTGTTAAGTTTTGGTTGTTTCCTACTACACTAACGCTATTCCCCTTTATTGGAACTACAACCTTTCAATTATTCCAATTACTCTATACACCTTTCCCCTTTCTTACAAACTTCCCAAAGGAGGCGTCTGTCGGCTACAAAAAGTAAACTGGGTCTTGTCAGAGTGCAAGTACTCAAAATAGTTTTGGTGGCAGGGAAAAATTCATTGGGAGCTTATCATTCTTCAACTCTGAGATGAATTTGTGTAAGAGAGCCAAAGAGCAAAGGTTCTCACTGACCCCTTGTCAACTTGACACAAAGATATCACTGGTAAGATAAAACCTTTCCTTTCTTGTTCATCAACAAGATCACACATTAATAAACATTACAATATAAAACATTACAAAATTTACAAGTCCCGGAGTATTTAAAATTCCAAACACTTAAAAAAATTTTAGTATCTTTAACATATCAAATCTCTTAAAATCCAAAGTCTTTGTAAATTTTCAAAATCTCTTTAGAAAGTTCAAAGTCTCTCAACTGTGGCCTTCTGTAAAAATCAAAACTAAGCACTATCTTACTTCAAGAGGGAAGAACCAGGGCACAGTCACAATCTGAATAAAGCAAAACCAAACTCCAACTGTGTAAATAATTCAATGTCCAATATCTGGGTTCAAGTCACGATCTTCTGGGCTTCTCTAAAGGACCACTTTTCTGGCTCCACCCACTACAGCCCACACAGATTGTCTCCTAAGATCAGGACAACTGCACTCCACTACTGTTGTTCTTGGTAGTTGTCCTATGGTACTGGCATCTCCAAAATGCGGAGGTCTCTTGCTGCAATTGCGCTGTAGTTTCACCAATAGCCTCTGCTGGGCTCTCTTCAGGGACTTCAGCCCTGCCACACAGTGCCAAGTCTCAGCTGCTCTCCACGATACCTTCATGACTTCAAAACCAGTACCACCTGGGTGACTCTTATACACTACCAGGTTCTGCTGCCAACACAAGGTACAACCTAGGTCACCTCTGGAGTACCACTTCTGTGTGCTAATTCTGAGAAAACACTTCCCACAAGATTTCACCTCAGCGATGGTGTGTTCTTAATCACTGCTGATTTCTCAGCTCTAGTTGTCCAGCATCAATTATCCCAGCAAAGCAAAGGTTTTTTTTTCACTTTAGTGGTTTTGGTATCTTGATAATCACAACCAATTCTTCCACACACAGATTCTTAACACAAGATACGTTAACAGCCCTAATGAGAGTCTTTAAGTGATTTCAAATCTTCCCTCTGGAACTTCAAAAACCACACCTCCATCATCTGCATTTCTCTCAACACTAATCTTTCAAGTTCCCATAGAACATTTCACTAGGCTTTGAACACTCAATGAATTTTCTGGCCCCGAAGTTCCAAAGTACTTTCACAATCGACCCCCAAATGACATGGTCAGGTCTGTCATAGCAATGCCCTATCCTGGCACCAATTTCTGTCTTATTGCTGTGACGAAACACCATAACCAAAGCAACTTGGGGAGGAAATGGTTGATTTGGTCTATACTTCCACATCAACGAAAAGTCAGGACAAAAAGGCAAAGGAGTTTGGAGTCCTGGAGGCAGGAGCTAATGCAGAGGACATGGAGGAGTGCTGCTTACTGGCTTGCTCATCATGGTTTTTCTCAGCCTCCTTTTTTATAGAACATAGGACCAACAGCCCAGGGATGGCACCACCCACAATGAGCTGTGCCCTCCCACATCAATCACCAAGAAATGTCCTACAGGCTTGCCTGCTGCCCAATCTTATGGAGGCATTTTCTTAGTTGAGGTTTCCTCCTCTCAAATGATTCTAGCCTGTGTCAAGCTGACATAAAATTAGCTAGCACATACTCTTTATCCCAAGATATAATACTGGAACTCAGAGAAACTCTGCCTCAGCCTTCCAAGGGCTCTGATTATAGCCACAAACCCTCTGTATGATATACTTTTTAAAAAGTCATCATTGTAGGGGAAGTATATAGTGTGTGTGGGTGTGTGCATGTACCACAGAACACAATTGGAGGTTACAGGACAACTTTGTGAAGTCACTTCTCTTTCACCTTTACATGGATTCTGACGATCAAACTCAAGTCATCAGGCTTCTGTGGCAAGTACCTTACTTAACCCAGTGATCCATCTCCTGAACATGAAACATTTTTATGATGAATGAAAAGCACTCCAAATACCTGTTACTATATTTTTTTTGTATCCATTATAGATACCAAGGCTAATCTATTTCTACTGTACATGATCTCTCTTTTTTTTTTTAGTTTTTCGAGACAGGGTTTCTCTGTAGCTTTGGTGCCCGTCCCGGAACTAGCTCTTGTAGATCAGGCTGGCCTCGAATTCCCAGAGTGCTGGGATTAAAGGCGTGCGCCACCACCGCCCAGCTGTACGCGATCTCTTTTAAGCTGCCAAGTTGATGGGCCTTTGCTATCCTATTTACTATAACCTTAAAGAACCTTTCTTTGAGGCTGGGTGGTGGCACATGCCTTCAATTCCAGCACTCTGGAGTCAGAAGCAGGCACTCACGTGGTAGCCTGTAACTGGTTGTAATTCTGGTTCCAGAGGGTCCAACAACCCTCCTCTTGCCTTCATGGGTACAAGGCACACATACATAACAACAGGCAAATGCTTATACACATAAAGATAACTAAGTATTTTTTCTTTTTAGAGTCTTTTTCCTGGTCATGGTGGCACATCTTTAATCCCAGAATTCAAAAGGCAGAGACAGGTGGATCTCAGTTTGATGTCAGTCTGGTCTACATAGTGAATTATAGGACAGTCAGAGATACATAGACTGTCTCAAAAAAAAAAAAACTAAAAACTAAATGGCTTCTCTTAATTTCTAGCACATGGTCATCTTTTGGTTCTCACCCGATTTCTATGCATTCCTTACTCACTTCTTTTCCTACAACTTACTGGGCCAGATCATTGAAAGCTCTAACTGCTAGGTTAAAAACCTTGATTTTTATATGATGAGCTATTTGAATTGGGCATCAACATAATTTCAGTACACTCAGCATATTCACCTAGAGGCAAGATGCAGACTAGATCACAGACAAAACGTCTTTTTGACTGATGGAGACTAAAAAATCATGGTTCAAAGACATTTTAAAAATCAAACTAACTGAGCATTCATTTAATCCTAGCACTTAGGAAGCAGAGGCCACAAGTTCAAAGTCAACCTTATCTACATAGTAAGTTCCAGGTTAGCCAGGGCTACATAGTGAGACCCTGTCTCAAAAAGCCAAAAACTAGCCATGTGTGGTGGTGCATGTCTTTAATCCCAGCACTCAGGAGGCAGAGGCAGGCAAGGCAGATCTCTATGAGTTAAAAGCCAGCCTGGTCTACATAGTGTTTCAGGAAAACCAGGGCTACATAGTGAGATCAAGTCTTAAATAAGCTAAAAACTATAAATAAATAAAAGCAACAAACAGCTAAACAGTTAAAAAATGGCCCAAGACTAGAATCAGATACTTTAAAACTGGTTATAAACTCAAACAACCATCGTGATTCTGTAAGTACCATATAGTGTTTATTCTCAGAGAAAATGAAATGTTTACTCTTAAATTTTCTTACCC